CTCCCAGCTCAGTGCCTTTCCCCCTGCGCAGGCTCTGGAGTTAACTTGGGATCAGTGGTATGGCTGCCTGTGGTCCAGAGTTCCAGTCTTTATGCTTCATTCATTCATTCATTCATTCATTTATTCACTCACATGTATTCCTTTTGGGCTGGGCACTAGGGGTACAAGATTAAGAGTCTCTGACTAGGTGAGAGGCATGTAAACAGTCACAGTCTCGTATGACAGATGGGATCACAGGGGGCCAAAGAAGAGAGGACATGGGGGACAAGGGAGCCTTTTCCGAGGAAGTGACATCTAAGTGGATACCTGAAGGATTATAGGATTTGGCTAAGCAGAGGGGCAGATGCTCCAGGCAGAGAGAACAGCAAGTCAGGCCCTCAAGCAGAAGTGAGGGCTGAGAGGCTGACTGGGACGACATCACAAAGGGACTTAGAGGGTCACAATGACAAATTTAAACTTTTCCCAGGGGGCAGTGGAGAGCCACTTATAGGTCTTTGTCTATCCAACTGTGAAATGGAACTAACCACCTTGCATGTGATTCTGCTGAGGAGGGAGGCCTTCTAGTGCCTCCTCTGCTCTTATCTACCTCACTGTGGGGCCTGGGCCTATCCTTCCCTCCCCGTACCCCAACCTGCTCCATGCCCAGGCCTCTTCAACTAGAAAATGAGGCACTGGGACTAAAAGCTCTGCCAGCTCTGAGATGCTCCTATTCTAGGATAATCTCTTTAATTAGTTAACTAATCAATTAAATAAGATTTTTATGAGTACAAATTTGATGGCAGGCATTTTAGAAGGAGATGGGGATCCCCGGTGCTCTCCTGCAGGAGCTCACGGTGTGCTGGGGAGGAAGATACCCGGAGCTGTACCCATAGCACGAAGCAGAATAAGTTCAGAGCTGTGGGGGCCAAGTGGAGTGAGCAATTCATTCTCCCTCAGGGATCTGGGGTCAGCTTCAGAGAGGAGGTGGCAGGTGATCTGGGCCTTGAAGGCTGCCCTGGGGTATGAAGATAGGGCCTGCTTTGTTCTGGGAGAATGAGTCACCTGGGGGGCTGAAGACAGGAAATGAGGCCTGGAGACAGGTAGCCACCCGGCCCCCGGAGGCCCTGAATGCTGGGCTCAGCTGTGCTCCACCTTCTGCAGGCCGAGGGGAGCCCAGAGGAGCGGGGTGAGCTCATCCGCTCTGTCTAGAGCTGACTTTGCTTCAGTGACTGGAGTCAAGATCATGTTATGCAAACGGGAAAGGAAGGGTCATTTTAGAGCGCCAGCTATCGGCCAGGCTGGGAGCCAGGTGCCCGAGATACGAGATCTTCCCTCTTTTAACCCTGATGAGAACTCTCTAAGACAGAAATGCTAATTTAGCTTTCACGGGAGGAAACTGAGGCTCAGAGCGGAAGCACTCTGTGTGAGGTCACACAGTGCAAAGGTGGTGGAGCCACTGTCCCTGAGCGCCTGACCCCAGAGCTCTGCCCTACCCCCACCCCCCAGCCACCCCTGACTGCTCGGTACCAGCCCTGGGATCCGACCGTGACTTCTACCAGTGCCAGTGCCTGTGTCCAAGGATCTGTCCGAGATGTTTCCGGCTGACCTCTGGGGACGGTGGGGTGTGGAAGGGAGTGAGTGTTGGAGGGCATGGGGAGGAAGTGCCCCCCATCTGTCCTGTCACTGCACACCCTCCAAGAATGGGCACCAGGCTCCCCACTGCCCTGGGTGGGAATAAACTCTTGAACTCTCCACAGAGATAACAAGTGCTATCTCCTCCCGGGCCTGAGTGTCGGCAGATGGGGCCTCTCGGGCCAACCTCCGGCTGCTTCCACCCACAGCTGTGAGGAAAAGCTGTCTGAAGATGGTGGGGGGCCCTTCAGGTTCTGCTCTCCCCTGGAGATGCCCCATCGCTTGCTTTCTTAGGGTCCATTCAGCACAGCCCCTGTCCCGGAGAGTCTAGAGTGAGCGCAAGACCCAAGGGAGCTGTGGGGTCACACCCCAGCTCGGCCACTTCCCTGAAATGGGGTTGTGAGCAGACCGCTTCTTTGTGCCACAGCTTCTTCATCTGTAAAATGGGGATGATAACCCCTCCCAGGGGCCAAGTGAGACTGATGCCTGAACACAGCGTGCTCTTTGCAAACAGTCACTACAAAGCGGAGACAAAAAGTGAGCCGCACAGCCTGGTCCAAACGCCCAGCTCCACCCTCTCCAGCTGTGTGAAATTTGGGAACTCTGGGAAAGCTTTCTTCAACTCAGTGGCTTGGTTTCCTCTTCCAGAAAATGACAGTTGTGAGTATGACACTGGTTAACTCAGACGAAGCACCCAGGACCGTGCCTGGCCCAGTGGCAGGTGATATGTAAGTATCAGTTATTTATTTTTGGTGTTTCTCTCTACTTCACCCTCTGATCACTGGTCCTCCTGGGCCCTCCCTGCTCTGGAAAGCACCAATGTCTCTCACTCTCCTTTTCTCCCCCTGGGCAAACCTCTCTCACACCCACACTCTCTCTCCCACTTCAGGGGGCGGGAGGCTCGGCAATCCCTTTACAGCACGTGTGGAAGGACTGAGGCTGATGGGGACACAGGCTTTGCGGCCCAGCTTGGAGTGCGTAGCCTACATCACTCCGTCTCCTACAGTGCCTGCCTAGTGCTGGAGAACAGACCATCCTTCTCCTGACCCTACAGACAAAATGCCGCTGTAGTGATTCATGGACTCAGGATCCCAGAAAGCCAGGACTGAAAGGGGCCCGAAGGGGTAGCCCACCTGTTCCACATCCCTGCCCCTTGCCCCCAATCTCCTAATAGAAGGCACCAGACCTCCAATACAATCTCAGGGTAGCAAGCCTGATCCAGTGTCCCCTGCTGCTGGGACTAATGCCCAAGGAACACTAGGTCTGGGTCTCTCAGGACTGGGGGTGAGCCTGTGTCCCTTCGCAGTCACAGCTGGACAGACCGGCTCTGAGCCTTTGCTATTTGAGGGCTGTTTTGATAACCTCTTACCATTCCTCCCCTCTTGCAAAGCCCCACCTGATCACCCCACACCCTGGGCCTCCTCTTATCTCCGCACTCTAAGCTCCCCATCCATTACTGTGCACGAGTCTTATCTGAGTCTCCATGGAATGAGATTGATTTCTATGAATAATTGGAATAGCTGGCTGGTGACCCAGTGTTGCTGCCACCAGGGTGATTGGGGCTTCAAAGCTCACATCCAGCTCTTCCCCTCTCTCCATTCCCATGGCTGTTATCTGGTCCAGGCCACCCTGACCTTTGGCTTGGATCACAGTTACAGCTTTCCGACTACTCTCCCTGCCTGGTTTACTGCTCCTTCCCTCCCACCCCCTTGTTCCACTCCCACCCATCTCCTCTAGAGCAGCCAGATCCATCTGGTAAAGCTCAAACCCTTCCCTAGGCTTGCCAATTAGGGCCTTTCTGATCCAATCCCGATTTACCTTTTTGGCCTTATGGTAAAGATTCACCCTCGTGTTCCCTAGGTGTAATCAAAGAAGGTCTTCTCCCAAGTTGTTCCCTCTGGGGGTGTTCATTCATTCAATCATTCATCAATCACTGTTGAACACCTACCTTATCCAGGACTTCCACGGGCACTAAGAATGCAGACAGGAATAAGGCATAGACCTGTCCTTAGGGAGCATGTGGGCTAGTGGGTGGGCTAGTGGGAGAGGCAGATGCATAAACAGGCGATCTGTAATGGAGTGAAATAGGTGAGGTGTCTAGGGAAGCACAGGGTTGGAAGGGGTGGAGGAGTGGAGTTGTGAGAACCTAGAGAGTCCTAACCCAGCCTGGAGTTAGTAGGGAAGGCTTCCTGGAGGAGGGGGCATCGACTGTCGTCTTGGAGGACGAGAAAACTGACCAGATAGACAAAGGACATTTTCCTGTTAAACAAAGCTTACTTCTTGATCCAGACCAATTCAAATACTGCACCCGCTAAGAATTCTTCTTTAATTGGCAACACCCACACTGCCCTCCACCCAGGGCTGGCCTCATGAGTGTGCAGCTTGTGGAGTCCCTTAGAAGAGCCCACACTTAGAAGAGCCGCATGCTTGGTTTAATCTTCTGCTGTTGCTGTCTGAAATTATTCAGAATTTCAACAATTCGCATTTTCACTAGGCCCCTCCAACTTAAAGAGCTGGTCCTGCCTCCCTCAGCTCTTGGCACTTTCAACCTTGTATTATGCTTGTACCCTCCTCCCTGAGGAGCATCTACAGTTCTGGGTGGGTCTGACTCATCCCTGTCCTCAGGGTCCAGCACAGAGGTGGGCACCAAAGAGCCTCTGTGAAGATTTTGGCGAATGCAATAAGACCCCACTGGAACCCAGCCATTTCATCAGAGCCAGGACAGCAACCCATGGGAGGGGGCAGAGTCCAGCTTGCACATGCTCCAGGAATTCAGAGACAGGAGAGATGGCTGTGGCTGGAGGTGGCAGGAGGTGCTCCCCAGAGGACCCACCACTGCTCTCCTGTCAAATGTCCTTTCTCAGCTCTCCCCGAGGTCTAGTCTCAGTTCTCACTGCACTGATCCCCTCCCCCTTCTGGGCCTCTCCCTGGGCCTCTGGGCGTAGCAGAGAGAAACTGGGAGGTAGGATGACAGCATCTTAATTTCCCTGCTAATTACAAGTGCTGGGAAGAGAGGTGCTAAATGCCACATAATTACCCAGGAGGAGACACGTGCCAGACTCCTGGCTGCTCTCAGCCCCAGGAACTTCACTTTAATGGTTTTCTTTTCTTCTTTCTTAAAAAAAAAAAAGATAAAAAGAGTTAAGGCCTGGCTTTCTTTCTCCTTAGGCTTAGGAGTTAAAGAAAGCAGTCCCTTTCTTAAAGCCCTTCTTTATCAGGGACCTAGATCCAGACCCTCCGCATTGGGTCTGGGGAGAAGGTCTAAGGATCGCAACTGTGTTTGTACTTGAGTTAGGCTGTGGGTGTGGGAGGGGGTGGGCGGAAGGAGGAGCCCCAGCCTTCTCCTCCCTGCTTGCCTCCTGGAGACACACACACACACACACACACACACACACACACACACACACACACGCCATGGCTTCACCTTTTTTTTTTTCATTCACTTAAATTTTTTATTACGTCTTTATTGGAGTATAATTGCTTTACAATGATGTGTTAGTTTCTGCTTTATAACAAAGTGAATCAGTTATACATATACATATGTTCCCATATCTCTTCCCTCTTGCATCTCCCTCCACCTTTGAGAACGGGAAACTCGAGAGAGATGCAGTCTTCTTCAGGGTTGCAGGCATGAGGAAGCAGGGAGGGGTCCCCTGCGGGCCCCCCTGCATGGGCTCCGCCACTCACCCCGAGGGCAGGGGTGGGTGCAGTGTCACCCAGTTGCTTGGCCTCACTCCTGTGCCCTGATGCCTGCCAGCTTCAGGCATAGCTTGAAAGGCTCCCAACAGGAAGCTATTAAGTTGATGGGCATTCTTGTGGTCCTGGATTGATACAGCGACGCTCTGTTTCGTAAAGCTGTTGTAATTTCCATAATAACATTTTCCTCTTCTTAAGTAAACTTGGACCCCAGCCCGAAGAATGTGGCTGGCTTTGCCTGGGGAATTCAGGACCTGAGATCGTGGAGGGAACACTCCCTGGAAAGGTGGGAAGGGGAAGGGAAGGCCACAGCTCCCGGAGCCCAGGGACTGGGACTCATAGGGGCCGGTGGAGTCTGGCTGAGCAGGGATCTCTGGAGGACTCATAACTCAGCCCTGGGCTGGGCCATGGCCCCTCCATCCTCCTGGGTGTATCCCTTTTATAACACAGGGAGGCAGCCTAGAGCAGTGGTCAGGAATATGGACTCTAGGTTTCGATTATAGAACCATTACATACTACTTGTGTGGTCCTGGGTAAGGCACTTAACCTCTCTGTACCCCAGTTTCCTCATCTGAAAAATAGGAATCATAAATGTACATAACTTACAGGTACATTGTGAGGATTAAATAAGATAATATATGTAAAGTGCCCAAAAGAGCACCTAGTGCAAAGCATGTGCTCCACACATTTTTCAAAGAAGTCCACACAAATCACTGTGTCTCATAGGTAGTTTTATAATTCTAAGTTTCTCAGGTGCCGGAGTCAGGGAATAATAAAATCTTGACATTTTTGAGCCAATGAGTTTAAAAACTTCTAAGATCATGTAGTAATGGAATCAAATAATAGTTAGCAATGTGGAGTCTTAGATTTACAGAATCCTGGACTATGAAACAAAATGCTATTCACATCCTACGGTCTTCAAGATAAGCCCAACACTGACGATTCAGTGTCTGCTCCCACGTCCCCATGACCATGAGTTTACTACCTTCAAAATTTGCCTCCCGGGAAGTTAGTACTGAATACAGATCTCTCTCCTTTGGCAGCCGCACTTGGTCCTAGTTCTCTCTGAGCCACCACAGTGCATCTGCTTCCTCCTCCCAGGAAAGCCCTGAGAGACTGGGAGAGATGGAGGCATTAGGTTTACCCAATGCCTGCTCTTCTCCTAGCTGCTTTCTTTTAGAACAAGGCTCTCCATTGTGCCACTGATAGGCTGCCTTGGTCTGACCAAGCCCTGCCACCTAAGGTCCCACAGTGAATACCATGTGAACTTGACCATGGTAGGGCTCAGAGGGACATCTGTCACACTCCATTATCTTTTTCTGTATATATTTTTTTCTTCCAGTTTTATTGAGATATAATTTTTCCAGGTTTTAAATATTTAATATTATTTTCAGGTAACATATATTCATAAATTTCCCCTGACATTAAGAAAAATTTCAAACTTAAAAATCAAAAGAATTATACAGTGAACACTTTTACATCACCGACTAGGTGCACAAAAGTTAATATTTTGCTAGATTTGCTCTATCAGGCATCTGACCATCCATCCCTCCCCCTCTATCCATCCATTAAGACAACTTATTATTGTGTGTGTGTGTAAAGTTTATTAATGGTACACACTCTTCCAAACTATTTTAAAAATCTACTAACATCATTCTATTTTTTTTCATGTCCCTTTTAAGAAAATGGAAGTATAGTTGATTTACAACATCCTATTAGTTTCAGGTGTACCAGAGTGATTCCATATCTTTATAGATTGTACTCCATGAGGTATAATTGACATACAGCACTGTATAAGCTGCAGGTGTACAGCATAATGACTTGACTTATATACATCATGAAATGATTGTCACAGTACATTTACTGAACATCCATCATCTCGTATAGACACAACACTAAAGAAATAGATAAAAAACGTTTTTCCCTTGTGATGAGAACTCTTAGATTTACTCTCTTAACTTTCATGTATAACGTATAACCGTGTTCATTATCTTTATCATGTTGTACGTCACATCCCTAGCACTTATTTATC